CTCTCTCTCTCTCTCTCTTCTTTTGAGACAAGGTCTTGCTATGTAGTTCAGGCTGCCCTTGAACTCACTATGTAGCCCAGGCTAGCCTCGAACTCACACCGATCCTTCCCAGGTGCTGGGATGGCAGGCATGCACCCCCACACCAGGCTGAAGGACCTCTTTTTTTCTTTTCTTTTTTTTGAGACAGGGTCTCACTATGTAGTTGAGACTGACCTGGAACTCACTATGTAGCCCAGGCTGGTCTTGAACTCACAGTGATCCTCCTGCCTCAGCCTCCTGAGTGTTGGGATTATAGGCACACATTCTTAATAAAAAGGAAGTCTAGAAAAAAGTATATCCCTTGGCACCAAAAATTGTTAAGGAGTTTTGATCGTGGGGTGGGGGAGTAGATATTCAAATGTATATCACTAGCTTTGTTTAGGAACTATAAGCTGAGAAAATGACTTATAAAGTGGACCCAGACTTGTTCAGATTCTGCTTCAAACTAATGAATAAACTTTTTCTGTCTCCTGTGCTCATGCGTTCTCTCTCCCCACTCTTATCTCAATAAATTTCCACTGCCTCTCTTTTTCAGTAGATTAAAGGCAGAGAGAAAACTCAGGATAATTTAACCACAGGTTGAATATTGTTGATACTAAGCAATTATTTGTTTATTGTTGAGAAACCTGTTAATACACACGGAAGTGAAATGGTGTGCTGTCAGGGTTTGCTTTAAAATAATTCAGCAGAGGAGGGTGAATGTTGAGCAGGGATATTGGGGGAGATAGATGAAATAAGATTGTGTGAGTATAGAAGAAAGGAAAGAAGGGAAAAGAAAAAAATATGAGAAAAGGAAAAAATGGAAACAGTCTTTGTAAATAGGGAAGGGTGCAGGGGGTGAAGGGAGGGGAGGGGTATGGGGGGAAAATAATCAGGTGACATCATGTATATCATGTAAAGGTACAAGATCCCAATGAAGAATGTATACTGTGTACCTAAAAAGTACCAATAAACTCAATGAATTTAAAAAAAAGATGGTATGTGTGTATGTCGGTGCTGTGTGTGAGTGTGTGTGTGTGTATGACAAGCATTCATTGTACATAATGATAATGGTAATTCACATGTGGGCGTTCATTATACTGTTCTTTTCACTTTTCTTCCATATTTAAAATTTCCCATGGGAAAAAAATGCTCTCTGGAGCCCCTGATAGAAACAAATATAAACCTGTGTAGGGTTAAACTCTTCAGTACTTGTAATTCCCTCGGATAAGCCCTGATGCATGAGGCCTTGCAGTCAGACTTTACATCACCAGGTGAGTCAGCAGATGAAATGAATAGTAGAATTAGACCCCTAAGTGCTATGGATAATAGCACTATTAGAAATGGTAAAATGAGTATGCTTCAATAAATTAAGAAGGTATAAAAATACGAAAGAAGAATAAGGAAAAATGCGCTAGGGAAATTTGGAAATGGGCTAATTAGAACTTCTAGAAATGAAAAAGAGAAGGTTTTTTTTGGTTTTGTTTTTGTTTTGTACCTGGTACCTGGGATTGAACTCAGGACCTTGTGCTTGTGAGGCAGTTGGCACCACTGAGCTAAATCCCCAGCCCAAGAGAGCTTTTTTTTGGCAAAGCATTTCTTGGTACATTTTAGATATACATAATGATAATATCATAGGGAATTTATAACTTAAATGACTAGGTTTAAAAGCTGTTCAGATGTCCCCAAGAGAAAGTTAATGAATTGAAAGAAAATCTTAAAAATTTAGAAAAACTGCAAGATAGAAATGCATGTAGGGCCGGGGATTTAGCTCAGTGTTTCCGGCGCCTGCCTCACAAGCACAAGGGCCTGAGTTCATTCCCTGATACAAACAAACAAACAAAACCCAGAAGTTTCCAGTGTTTTAAAAAGCCAAAAAGAAAACAAAACAAAACAAAAAACAAAAAACCTGCAATCGTCGGGTGTGGTGGCGCATGCCTGTAATCCCAGCACTTGGGAGGCTGAGGCAGGAGGATCGCTGTGAGTTCAAGACCAGCCTGCGCTACATAGTGAGTTCCAGGTCAGTCTCAACTGCATAGTGAGACCCTGTCTCAAAAAGGCAAAACAAAACAAAAAATCCATGTGTAAAAGTTAAAAGATATGGAGAAGAAAATGAAAAACTCCATGATTTTGGTCACAAACCAAGCTAAACAAGAACCAAATCACTTTTCCCGTAAGGTCAATATTGAACCTAACCATTAATTTGATTTAGTTCTCATCCAACTCCATGTGTGACCAAGGTTGTGGAAAGAATCAAGTTCATGAACCGAGGTCCCACTTAGATCTAGATCTCTGTCTGAGTGAGCTTTTTCCCACTGGGTTTCTTTGAACAGTTTCAAAGCAGGTAGGTGTTTTTACGTTTCAAAAATATTTCATTCAAAGTTCAGGGCTGGGGATGTAGCTCAGTGGTAGAGCACTTGCTTAGCAAATGTGAGGCCCTGGGTTCAATCCCTGGTACTGCAATCAATGAGTCAATCAATGTCATTGTAAGTTTTAATTATTTTATTTTGTTTTTGTTTTGTTGTTGTTGTTGTTGTTTTGTACCAGGGATCGAACTCAGGTCCTTGCACTTGTGAGGCAGGAGGCAGAACCACTGAGCTAAATCCCTGGCAAATTTTAATTATTTAAAAAAAAATAACAGAGGCTGGGGCTATAACTCAGTGGCACCACACCTCCCTTGCAAGCGCAAGGTCCTGAATTCAATCCCACGTACCAAAAAATAACAGAAATGTTTGTAAACTCAAATGTTATAAACAGAACTTAGTAAAGAGTCTCACTGTATTATGTACTACACAATTAATTCATTTTTATGTTTTTTCTGTCATCTCCAATTATTTTCCTGATATTGAAGGTTAAACTATTAAAAAACCTACAAAATGAGAACTTCTTACCCTGTAATGTTTTTTCTACATAAATTTTGTGTTCAGGCAAGACAAAGTGGAAAATTAAATAAGGAATGTACCTAAAACACTTACCTCCTGTTTTCATTGCTTTGTATTAGCCAGAAAAGCCTTTTGGTTGCCACTGATTGCCTTTTTATACTAAATTCTCTTTTAGGTTTAAATAAAAATACTCTATGTCTATTCTAACTAAATGTGGATTTATCTGCTACTTTTGGAAAAACATGTTTATTAGTAACTTACCAACTTATGCATTTCTTTGACAAAGATTTATTGCCCTATTACATAATGAGAATCATGCCCTAATCTAGGCTGAGGCTACAAGTTTGCAAGGCTACCATTGGCAGCCTTTGGCAAACCTAAACTTACTGGATTTCATCACAATTGTATTGCTTTAAGAAGACTTTGCAAATCACTAACTTGGAACGTGTTCTGTCTCTTCGAGTCTGTTGACTACCATGGTTTTGCTTTTACAGAGGTCCAGCTGGGGTCAGAGCCCAAGCCCTGGACAGAGATGGAAATCTAGTGGAAGATTTCATATTTGATGGAGGAGCTGGGGACATTGGGAATCGCATTCTTCACGTGAGAAATGCACCTTCCCCTGCTGCCACTTCTTCCCTCGCAATTTCTGAAATAATTGTAGATGAAATACAGCAAAGATTTGAATTTTAACTAATGAAAAGAGCTAGATACGCATTATAATGTCCACACCAGCCACAAGAATGTACTGTATTAATTGTGTTTTTAACTGTGATTTAAGAAAATGGTTTTAGCTGGGCGTGGTGGCGCACACCTGTAATCCCAGCACTTGGGAGGCTGAGGCAGGAGGATCGCTGTGAGTTCAAGACCAGCCTGGGCTACGTAGTGAGTTTCAGGTCAGTCTCAACTACATAGTAAGACCCTGTCTTTAAAAAAAACAGTGGTTTTAAAATCTCGCTTTTAGGTAAAAAAAAAAAATGGAATTATTAAAATGATGTAATCTAGAAATGATTTTTTATAAATTAAAGTACATACTCTTTCACTTTGTGAATGGAGAAAAAAGTGCAATTTTACCTGTCCTGAATTCCTGACATCATTAATGATCTGTTCTTACCAGTCATGATCTAAAGATTTGTCTCCTTTAGAATTTTGGGTAAGGATGTCATGAAAACATTGATTATCAGTCAAGCATGGTGGCATGTGCCTATAATCCCAGCACTTGAGAAAGTGAGGCAGGAGGATTGCAAGTTTTATTAGCCCAGCCTGGGCAACTGAGCAACTTAAGAAGATGCTGTTTCAAAAAAAAAATAAAACCTCTGCAGATCAATTTTTTGGGCTTTATAACATCTAAGCTTGTTTGTCTTTCCTAGTTAAGAAGATATATTGTAGGTTGCAGAGCTGGGGATCTAGCTCAATGGTTCTGCCATCTGCCTTGAAAGTGCAAGGATCCGAGTTTGATCCCTGGTACCAACAACAACAACAACAAAAAAAAAATTGTAGGTTGTAAATCTTTTCATTTATAAGTCATGGGAAAGCTCACAGTGTTTACAGCAGTGATATTTGCATTTGGAAATAAAAGTTTTCTTAATTTGAAGAAAACACGTGAAATCTCACATGTAATTTAAAACTCAGTCTTTGTTATTCTCAGTATCTTCATGAAGCTCTTTGTAACACTATATGGAGTCATCACTAAATCAAAAAACAGTGTACTGTGTGGGATTGTTGCCTCCTCTACAGTCTTCTGTGGTTGAGAATCTAAGCACATCTAGAACTGATAGGTTTCTATAAGACCACTTTTAGAATTCTGACATTGATGTACAGAACTCTGTAATTTTCAACAATTTATCTCCTATATCTCTGTCCTTTAGCCACACTAAGGTTCTCAATGTATTGGCCATGATCACTAATGATTCATACCTATTTGGTTTTTCAGAGCTCCTGTAAACTTTTATCAGGATGTTTCTCCATTTGGGGTAAATATCTAACTTTGAGGCATTCACTTTTGTCAACCGCGAAAGTGCCTTACAATCATGTGTACTTCACAAGTGTGTTAAATCGGTACCCAGTACCATAGTGTGTACCATTCACATGTCTGTGTTATCATATATGTGTGATGAACTGTTTCTTACATTTCAAAAAGTTGGCAAATAAAGACGTAAATGAAAATGTGGCAACCTGACTGGGTACACAGAACCGCCCTTTAGAGAAGACTTTTTTGTCCATTCTGTCCCACGAGCTCTCTCAGGATTAATCATCCACTCTCCATTTTTTCTTTCCTCTTATCTCTTCAAAGCAGTGTGATGGATGAGTGGGAAAGAGGTGCATTTCGGCTAACAGGAAAAACTCTTGTTTGCTTCCTTTTCCCTTCACTTCAGTCCTTGGTAATTGCATTGATGAAGCTACCTCCTCCATTCAGTTGAGGGGATACACATCATCAACTCCAGTTCAAAAGCAGCATGTCCCAGGTAAATAAACTAGGCAATTACTCAGCACTTGGGATGTGTGTGTGTTGAAATCATTCACAGATGGAGGAACAAGCACTAATGGTTCATCCTGACAACTGACTTCAGCAAGAAATGCAACCCACAGGATATTTCTCTGTTCTTTTATGAGACTACTAAGAAACAGAAAATAATATGGTTTATTTCATTAAGAGTAAGACTGCATGCACAGTAAACTCTGAAAGACTGAAGTCACAAAAATGACTTTCCTAATTGAAGCAATCCTCATTCCATTTTGGTCTGTACTATATCCCTAAAAAATATATGGGGAAATTTGTTGAAAGTGTTTTGAACATAATCACTTTGTTTGTAAAACATTTGATATTTATGTCAATAGTTTTGTTGTTAAATACTGTTATGATATTTGAGAATTGTGACTTTCTGAGAGAAGAAAATATATATTACTATTAAAATATTTTAATGAGCTTGCTTGTGAAAAGCACATTTTTTAGTTCCATGAAAACTTCTTTTCAGGGCCAGGGATTTAGCTCAGTGGTTCTGCCACCTGCCTTGCAAGCACAAGGTCCCAAGTTTGATCTCTAGTACCAAAAAGTTTCTTTTTTTTTAATTTGTTTTGTTTTGTTTTGGTACCAGGGATCAAACTTAGGACCTTGTGCTTGAGAGGCAGGCAGTGGAGCCACTGAGCTAAATCCCAGGCCCCCCCAAAAATTTTATTCAAATAAATATTCTATGTGTAAAACATAAACTGCCATAACTTTAGATAGTAGTCAATCTTTTTTAAAAAATTAAAAACAAAGCCTGGCTCAGCATCACATGCCTGTTATCCCAGCACTTAGGGAGACTGAGGCAGGAAGACCTCAAATTCAAATCCTCCCTGCCCAACATCGTGAGATACTGACTCAAGATTTAGAAGAAAAACTATAAAAAGAAATTTAAAACTACTTCTGTATTTGTGTACAATATAAAAATGAAGGGGGCTGGGGATTTAGCTCAGCAGTTTGGTGGCCTTTCTTGCAAGCGCAAGGACCCAAGTTCAATCCCCAGTACCAAAAAAAAAAAAAAAAAAATGAAGCAGAATACTTTATATGATGGGTTAAAAGTAAATTATTTTAGGTTTTAGCTTCAAATATTTTGTGAGGAACTCATTAGTGTACTAGCAAGTACTTTTTTTTGGTGTTTGATGTTACGTAACTAAACTTTATCCACACACATACATGTATATCAAAGACCTTCCCTTGATCCTCTCAGAGTTTACACTGTTTGGGGAGTTGCCATTGCTATTGGCAGAGTTCCATCTCCTTGAGGCCTTTTGGAAATCTGCCTACCAGCCTGTGGGATAACTTTTAACTCTCAGAACTTTCTTCAAAGGATGGTGGTGAGAGTGGTGTACATTGCCAGGCCCTAGCATATGGGATCCATTGGGCCTGTATTTGGAAGTCGTCCAACCCTAGGGGCAGAGACTGAGCAAACCCTATGAACCTAGTAGAGGTGGCATCTATGTGATATTTAGGAGCTGGCTCTGCCTCCTGGGCCCTTGATTTGTGTGTAGGCTACTTTGTTCAGATTTTTCCCCATCTTTTTTAGTATAAACTGTTTATTATCGAAACATACAGTAAAGATTTTTAAGGAGGAATTGGGAAGTTGGTAAATTTTTCTAGTACACTCAGGGAGTTTTTGAAATATTTTTCATCCGGATTTAAGATAGAAGGTGAGGGCAGTGACAGAGCAAAGTGGTTAGAAAAAAGAAAGATACCTAAAAATGTTTTCCAATAGTTTGTACCTATTAGACTTTAAGAATGGAAATAAGACCCCCGATCCCTAAAGGAAAGAACAATGGTGATACCAGCCAACTCTGCCTTTTTTTTTCCTTAGTACATGTTTGCAGTACGTGCATTTTATAATCATCTTGGTTAATGGGTACATGTACATAATACAGCTTGCTGTCTTTTTTTTAAATCCCCTTCCCCACCCCTCCCTCCTCTTAATTCCCCTTTCTTCATTTTCATTCTTACTGATATTATTAATCTTAGCTCGTGTTTATGGGATATGATGTTTACGTTCATTGAGGGTACTAGGTTCCTGTATATGGAGTATCTATTCTACTTATATCCCTTTCTCCCCGACCTCCAACCCCTCCCAACTCTACTTTTGTAGCCCCAAATCCTAGAAAGGATCATGTTCCTTTTTATCAAGTGTTATTATTTTCTGCTAAGGGAAGGGTCTGACATAAAAGTTATTTTAAGATTCTTTTGCCTCTTGGATACAATGAGAAATTTTACCTTTGAGATGTGGAAAGAGATGTGTTGGGTTGACTTGGTTGCCCAGGGGACCCCCACTTCAAATTTAGGAAAAGCCCTGAGGGGTGATGGCAACAGAAGGGTGTCTTTCATTAGAGAAACTTGAATTTCAGCTGAGTTTTGCTTACAACTTTATCTTTAATCACTTCTTTTAATTTTGTTGCTCTGAAATAGTTATGCAATGGGATGAAAGGGCTATAGGACTGATTTTTTTCTAGTGTCATTTAGACTTAATTTTACTTAATTTTTCCACTGAGAATCTAGGAATTGTTCTTTATGAACGAGGGTGTTTTTTGGATATCTGAGTAGGATTGGGGACAGGCCTCCCCAGTCACACTGGCTACGGATCAGTTGTTTCCCAGAATGTCTTAACTCCTTTGACCTCTGATTGCCTTTTATCTTAGATTCTTGTTCAGTCATTCCAGCTGGGACATATACAAAGATTTTATTGCCGGGATCCTGAGTACCAGGAGCCGTTGGATGAAAGTGTAGCTCAGTGGTACAGTGTGTGCTTATTAGTATGCATGAGGCCCTGGGTTTGGTCCCTAGCACCATAAAAATAGATACTGGAATGTTGGTAATGTTACAGGCAAATCAGAAAAAAATACCTCCTGAGGTCCAATATTATGCCTTGGGACTTAGCGATATAAAGATGCTCTTTGCTTTCAATTTGAATGTTAGAATATTGTGGTTGGTGGTGAACTTTCTTTTTTTGATACTGGGGATTGAACTCGGGTTTTTGTGCTTGCAAGGCAGGCAGCCTGGTGAAGGACTTTTAAATGTTCTTTCAATTTAGACTTTTCTCCAGAATTACTTGGTAAATTTTTTAGAATTAAAGAACCAAAAAATCCTGTATTAAATACTTTGTTATTTTAATAAGGTTGATGTGATACTGAGAATTACAAGATTTTGCCAACATTTCCAATTGAGAAGATGATGGTCTTATGGGAGAAGCACATATTGATGACATTTATTCTAAGAATGGATATAGTAGATGAGAACCATATGACTGAAGAGAATCTGAATCCATTCAGCTTCTAAGAGTACCAGTGAGAATTTTCAGGAGGACCCCATCGT